AAAATACAACCCCAAGTTAATATTTTGGATCCATTTGCTCTCAACAATATTTATTCAATAGTGATTTGATTCTTCTTATCTCATGGCATTGGGTTTGTCACAGATTAGGTTCGTATAACCGCTTACACTTTCCATTCCACTTTACGGAACAGTGTTTCTATTTTTTCCAACAATATCTGTTCAAATGTTCATCAGTTTCACCAGCTTCTACTGAGTGATGTGTGCCGTGTGCCGTGTGCTGTGTGGGAATATTGTGGTAAATACAAGCTGCGAAGACATGGTTTGTGCCTAAAGGAAGCTCCCAGCCTAGAGGCACAGACAGACCAGTCGGCCTGAAGACAAGTGTGTAAACACATGACCTGAATGTATAAAACAATGTGATGGCCCTGGCAGGGTTTGGCTCAGTGGTTAGAGCATCGGCCTGCAGTCCGGAGAGACCTGCGTTCGGTTCCCGCTAAGGGCACATACCTCGGTTGCAGTTTGTCCCCGGCCCTGGTTGGGTCGTACAGGTGGCAACCACTCGATGTGTCCCTTTCACGTGAATGTTTCTCTCTCTCTCTCTCTTCCTCTCTCTCCTTCCCACTCTATCTGAACAAAAAATGAAAAAATGTCCTCGGGTGAGGATAAAAACAAAAGCAAAAACAATGTGATGATTATTTATACTTCCTGTATGAATCCAATGTTATGGTTGCACCGCAGGGGAATCAGGTAATCCTTCTCAGAGGCGGTGATAACGGGTCTGAACAGTCAGAAAAACGTAAGTCGTTTTCCAGATGGAGAAGGCAGAGTAGCAGTTGGAGAAGGCAGCACAGCATGGGCAAAGGCGGGGAGAAATACAGACCGTGACCTGTTTGGGGCACTAGTCTGGGTGTAGCCACGTGACTGTCATGAAAAAAGTGTCCAGAAGGTGGGTCCGGGCAGGATTGTAAAGAACCTTGCAGACCACACCACAGATATTGGACTTTAGCCGGAAGGCATTAGATTCCGGAGAAGGTTTTTAACTGAGACACATGATGAGAGCTTTATTTCAGAAAGATCAGTCAGTGGATCATTCAGTGGGTGATGAGCAGGAGAAGCTCATGGATGTGGGAAAATCTGGAGGCAGCAGACTAGTTTAGAGACCTGACAGGAGCCTGGGTGCTGGATAATGAGGGTCTATACCAAGGCAAAGATGGCATGGATGGGAGAGAGGGCACGGCCAATAGCTATGATATTTCTAGATTGGGCAGTTGGGTAGCAACCACTTCATTGATTAAACATGGCAGGCTGTCCACTCTTGGGTCTCTCCTGAAAACCCAGTGAGGAGACAGTAAAGGAATTAAACAGGTATAAATCCACAAACACAGGAGAATGAGAGAGGAAAGATAAAAATAAGCCTCGGAAGAGCAGAAGAGGATGAGCCCACAGAAAGGTGCTGGTAAGCAGCAGCCCAACGCACCCCGTAGACTTCAGCAAAGTTCAGGACCAGGAAGTTCCATGTCCCTGGGAAGGGTAAGATGCAGGGGGTTGGCTACAGAACTGTATGTGAAACAGGTGGACACTGAGGTCTTCGGCCCATGCAGCTAAGTGACAACTCCTTCTTTGCCCAATCTCCTCCCCAAGGGGATTTCCTCTAAAGAAACCAAACCAGAGAGTGCCCAGACTTGGGACACCAGGCACAGCAAAGAGTAGGGGAATGGAGCTAGAAACTGGGGAATTAAATGAAAGTCAATATCCTAAACGATGGGGAGCCCCCAACTCCCTTATCTTACCTTGCTCCCTGAATGTAAGCAGCTACCTGGGTGACCCCTAGGCGAGAGATTAAATGACTCTTCTGGGGAGGAACTGAAGAGCCCCAGAGGAAATGCTCTAGACAGTTACATTTGCGGGTCCTCTGTGAAGAAGCTGGCTTACTCTCTAATCAGCCAGTGGCGTACCCCAAGGAACCATCCTTGCCCAGTATGCTTTTTAGTACTTCACTTACAAGTACAAAAAGAAATGAAAAGATCAACAGACATTGTAGTAAAGCCTCTAATAAAACAGAGAGAGAGAGAGAGAGAGAGAGAGAGAGAGAGAGAGAGAGAGAGACCAAGCCAAAGAGAAAAGAATCTAGAGAACTCAGGACAGTAAAAGAGCAGAAAAAGACTTTAAAGGGAAAACAAGTAATATTACCAGAAAGATAAGATAAACTATGTACCCATACGATAAGAATAAGAAAGTGCTCAAATTTTTTTTCTAAAAAAGGAGGGGGAGGGGAGAAGGAAAAATCAGGTTACAACCAAGAGCTCTTGGAAACTGAGAACAGGACAATTGTGGCATAGCCTGATTGCTGCCACCCAATCTTCCTTTGAAAAAAATATATGCAGTTTCATGTGAGGCAGCAATATGACCAGTCAAAAAGACATTCCCCAGCCCCCCTCTGAGAATAGCTGGAAAGGCTAGGCCATCAAGTCCAGGGCTATGCAGCCAGGGACAACACGCAACATTATACGTCGGAGCAGTCGAATGGGGGCGTCCCTGCTGCAGGCACCAAGGTCTCGGCACTGCAGCCGGCCCATTGACCCTGAACGCCTGGACCTGGAACCAAGAATGCTGTCACCCTGCAGCTACCATCATGCTTCCAGAGAGTTCCTCAAAGTCCCCATTTCTTTGGGTTTCCAGTTCCCAATATGAAGAGAGCCCTGGTCTTGTGCCTGAACTCTGGCTACAGGAGAGGTTGGAACTCTGGGAGCTGACATATTGCTTTGCGTGTGAAAGACTTGCTTTAGCGCCCCCCAAGACACATAACGGAAATTCTTCAAACATAAGGAGGTCACTGGGTAGGCAAAAAAAAAAAAGGAAAAGTTTACTCTTATATTGTATCCAAGAAATCTTTTGTACCCTGGATCCAAAGAAAGCTCTTCTCTGGATCCAACACAAAAGTGGGATAAAGAGAGGAATTCCAAGACCACACCCTGAAAGCAGGCCCGAGAACAGACAGCCTGGAGTGGAACAGCCAGTGAGTCCCCACTAGAGCAGTAGAGTAGCCATGGGACAGAGGGGAAACACCCGGACATGATAGATTTCTGAAGAATTCGAGCATTTGGAAAATAATATCGTGAGGCATTTGATGTATCTGCCAGAGCGTTGGTGACCCTAAAAAAGCAAATAAAATAAAACCAATGCAGCCCGGCCAGTGTGACTCAGTGGATTGAGTGTCGTCCCATGGACGGAGAGGTCCCGGTTTGATTCTTGGTCAGGCCACATGCCTGGGTTGCAGGCTCAATCCCCAGTAGGAAGCATGCAGGAGGCAGTCAACGGATGCTTCTCTCCAACATGGATGTTTCTATCTCTCTCTCCCTTCCCCTCTCTCTAAAAAAATCAATAAAACATATAAAAATATTTTAAAATAACAATCACAAGTAAAACCAATGCAATTATTAACTCCAGGAGACAGAAAATGTTGGACAAAAATGGAAATGTAATCATAGTATAAGGTTCAGAGCTAAGCAAAATTTACTTAATCATGATAATATGAATACTACATATTAAGTTAATCAAAACTCTGATATAATTACATTGGGATGTTTTGAATGAGAAGTCAGAGTGGCCTAAATGAGTTCAATCTTCGTTTACCATAACAGGAAGTGAAAAAATGTCTGAAACAGACATATCAGGGAGTAGCATACAAATATATTATTTAGTAACATCAAGGTCAACAGAAGAAGCACCTTTTGGTTGCAAGTGAGGTTTCCAGGGGCTGAAACTGGGGAGTGGAGAAGGATCAAAGGATAGCATAAAAGAGTGGAAACTATTTTTGATTATATGACTTTGAATTTCACTTGGCTTATTAAACTATACACTTACTACTTTGATAAAAATAAAACAATTCAAAAATTTTAACAATGCTCCTACCGTTAGGAACCTCACACCCATTAGGAGGTACAGAAGGGAAAGCAGGTGTAGGGAAGAATGTAAAGTGCTTATTTTCAGACATCTCCTTCTCTGTCCCTCGGTCTCGCCCCTCTGCCCGCTGGCCTGGACACACCTCAGGGCCAGGTGACGGGAAGGGGATTGGCTTCCAATCCAGGCGTCTGCGCAAAGCGTCAGCTCTGAGACCTCCCCGTGCGCTCAAGGGCCTCAGGGGCCTCACCGGTAACGAGGAAAACGTTCATCTCTATTCCATTACATGAAATGACATATGTCAAGTACCTAAAATATGGAAGACTCCAAAGGTATGAGATCTCGCTCGGAGTGTCTCAGGCCCTGGAAGCCTCCCTTTGAGAGTGTCTCCGTGTCTCTGGTTGCAGATTTGAGGAAGCAAAGAAAAGCTGTGCCCCTTCGCCCCTCCTCTGTGCCCTCTTGCTGTTTGGGATGTTTCTCTTCCCCAAACACACTGAGGTTTTGCCAGGCAGTTTGTCACAACACATTTCCCCTTCTCTTGAAAAAAGAAATTGGTTTCATTCACGTTGGCCTTGCACTTCAGCTGATTTGTGAGTAAAATAAAATTGATATTCAATTTTTATCCCTGGCTCCCACATGTAGGAATAGATAAGAAATTTCTGTCTAAAATCAACTATCTATAGAATGACACATTCAGCTGATATTTGAATATAAAATTTAAAATAAATATAAAATAGAGTTAACAGCCCTGGCCGGTTTGGCTCAGCGGTTAGAGCGTCGGCCTGCGGTCCAGAGAGACCCGGGTTCGGTTCCCGCTAAGGGCATGTACTTCGGTTGCAGTTTGTCCCCGGCCCTGGTTGGTCGTGTGGGTGGCAGCCACTCGATGTGTCCCTTCACATCGATGTTTCTGTCTCTCTCTCCCTTCCTCTCTCTCCCTCCCACTCTATCTGAACAAAAAATGGAAAAATATCCTCGGGTGAGGATAAATAAATAAATAAATAAATAAATAAAATAGAGTTAACAAGGATTTTAAGGTGAACTGGCTAAGGACTTGAAAGAGGGTTGTGATAACTTGGTAGAGGAGGCAGCCAGTAGTCACCCCAAATTGGGAGGCCCCAGTATGATTTCCAAGCTCTCACCTCCTCCGCTTGGCCTTGGCTGGTTGCTCAGCCCAGGGACACAGTGTCCTCCACATACTCCCGCGGGCTGAGGCCTTTCGGTGCGGGCCCGCTGTTGGCTCCAGGAGGACCCCTGCCCGTCCCAGGTGGCGCTGGGCCGCCTGTCCGGGCCTTCCACAGGGAAGGAAGCTGGCGACTTGAGGTCCAAGAGGAAGCTGTCTTGTAGGGTTTTCTTGGTGGCCTTCTTGCATTTCCCCTTCTGATGCTCTGGGGTCCCTTTGCTTTCTCCTGGCCTGGCCTGGCTACTCTCAAGCTTCCTTGTTACCTGGAGGAGCTGGTCCATATCTTTGGTGAATTGTAGCAGAGTGCCGTCAGAGAGGCCGCGGGCAGTGCCCTCAGAGCCATAACTGGGAGCTTTGCCCAACAGCAGGTGCTCAGAGCAGAGGAGAGAGTCCGGGTCCGCCCCGTGCGCTGACTCGGGCGCCTGGGGCTGGCTGCAGGGAACCATGGACAGGGAGAAGTAGGAGTAATCCACCGCGATGTATGTCAGCATGAAGTTGATGGTGACAATGGGAGCCAGGACATTCACCTGACCCACGAGGACAAAGGCCATGGTCACCAAGCTGGTCAGGCAGATGGCAGCAACGGGAGTTTTATTTGGCCCTCTCTGCAAAAGCAAAGAGTACATACAAGACTCTGAAATTTCAGAAGGAAATCACATTATATGACAGAAACACAACTCCTAAGGGCTCAGCCACTTCTCCCAGGCGACTCTTGGTGTATCAATAACTGTTCATCTACAAACGCGGGATAATGATATCCGAGCCATACATTTTTTGTGGGATTAGAGCTAATGCATATAAAATGCTCGACAGGGCGCTGATACACATTAGGCTTCTAACATGACACGGGCATCAATTGTGTTAGTAACTATTAGTATGGGGCACTGGTCTAGTGGAGAAAATGACTCTAGGGGAGCAGCAGACCCCAGAAGATGAGGCAGTATCAGTGGTGGCTGAGGTGGGGGATACTAAATACACACACACGCTCATGCTCACACACATAGTCACACACATCTGTTACTGACGGAGGCGGGGATGGTGACCCTCAGGACCGGAGTGGGAAATAGGTGCTAACTCCATATAATTTGTTATTTCCTTCCCTAGAACGTTAGAGTAAAATTCTTAAAAAAAAAAAGAGTAAAAATACACTTGAGAATCATGTTTTTTGGTACAGCTATAATTGTTTAGCATATTCTAACAATAAAACAACAAAGAATAAAGTAAATTCTCAGAAATTAAAAAGAACTTAAAAAGAGGGTCTTAGATAAGCTGAAGGAAATGTTAGCGGTCCAGGCCAGGGCTTTGAAAAGGGTGGGTGTAAAAAGATAAAACAGTCAAACATGAACTTCTTCTGTCCCCCAAAAGTCACCATAAAGAAATGAAAAGACAGCCCTGGCCGATTTGGCTCAGCAGCTAGAGCATTGGCCCACAGACCAATGAGTCGCGGGTTCGATTCCGGTCAAGGGCCTGTACCTCGGTTGCAGTTCGTCCCCGGCCCCAGTTGGGTAGTGCGGGAGGCAACCAATCCATGTGTCCTTCTCATGTCAATGTTTATCTCTCTCCTTCTCTCTCTCTTTCTCTCTCTCCCTCTCCCTCCCACTCTGTCTGATGATAAATAAAATATCCTCAGGTCAGGATTAAAAAAAAAAAAGAAATGAAAAGAAAAACCATGGAATAGGAAAAGATATTTGTAAAACATACAGAGATGGGCAAAAAGCAGGTTTATAATTGCAATACAATTAAATAACATAATAACCAGTCAATAATAATACAAGAATAAACTGTTTTGTATACTCACAACTATAACCTACTTTTGCCCACCCTGTATAACTGACAAAGGGTTAGCCAGAACATACCAAAAAAAAAATCCCCACAAAATAATTAGAAAAAGACAAACAACCCACTAAAAAAATCAGCAAAAAGAATACCTATTAAACATAGTAGAGATGTTCAATCTCATTATATAATCAGGAAAATGCAAATTTAAACCATAGTGAGATACCATTAAACACCCACTAGACTGGCGAAAATTAAGTCTGATAATATCAAATACTGGCAAGAACGTAGAGAAATGAAAATGCTTACATACAGCTGAAAAAGAAGTGTAAGTTAGTACAACTACTTTGGAAGAAGATTCTGGTGTTCTCTAGTCAGGGACAGTAAACACACCTTACAGTTTAGCAACTACAGTAATGAGCGTGTTGGCTGGAAGACCTGCATGTGCACCTGTCCACCAGTGCTCGCTGCACTGTCTGTGCTAGCGACAAAATGGAATGACCTCAATGTCCATCAACAGCAAAATGGACAAACGAACTGCAGCCAATGAGGAAATGCTACGTAGGAGTGATAATAAACACACTGCTGCGCTGAGTCAACATGTGGATGAATCTCACAAACACAATGTTGAGGGAAAGAAGCATGCCACATTAAGTTTAAAAACAGACAAAATTAAATTGTTTTGTTTAGCAATGCCTATGGAGTACACCAGGAGCTGGCAAACTCTGGCCCCTGGAGCAGATCCGGCCACCATCTGTTTAAGTGTGCCCAAGAGCTAAATGGTTTTATAGTCTGAAACAGCTGGAGGGCGGGGAGGGACTTCTAAGAAGAGTAATATTTTGTGACACATGAAAATTACATGAAATTCAAATTTCAGTGTCCCATAAATAAAGTTTTATTGGAACACAGCCATGCTCATCCCATTGGTATTATCTGTGTCAACTTTGGAGCTACAATGACAGAGTTGAGTTGTGGCAGAGATCATAGGCCTAAAAAACCTAAAATATTTACGATTTGGTGCTTTTCAGAAGAATTTTGTCAACTTCTGAGCAAAACTACAAAGAAAGTAAGAAATAGTATTGTCACAGAAGTGGGGACGGTAGCTTCCACAGTGAGAGGGACGGGCTCTGACCAGAGAGGGCGGGTGGAGGACGGCACTGGGGGCCGGCAGTGTTCTCGGGTGGAGGTTACAAAGACGTCCACTTCATAGTCAGTCTTTAAACTGTTCATAATGGGTTTATTACCTTTTCTGTATATTTGATGAATCTCAAAATTTTTAGAAAGCTTTCCTCGCCCCCATTAAAAAATGCTAATAAAATTTAACCATACGTAAAGAAGTTTTGGAAAAAAAGGTTTCAAAGTTTAAAAGCCATGACAAATTAGAGAAAACATTTGTAATGTGTATCACAAAAACTAATCTCCCTAATAAAGAAAGAGCTTCTAGCAACTGAGGAGAAAAAGACCCAGGGACTCTTCGAGGAGGAGGTGTCAACCGCATTCAGAGTAAGAGTGATACAAACCACAGTGCCCTCAGACGCCGCTGCTCCCTACACAACTGGCAAAGCCACGTTGGCAAAGAGCTGGGACAAGTGTGCTGCTCACACTGTGACGCCTGGGGCAAGAGTGCAGATGGCAGGCCACACGCCCGCTGTCTAAATATTTACAACTATAAACCAGACTATCAAACTCTCAGATCAAATGCGCTCCGGCCTCTCCTTGGCAAACACCCCCAGGCCCCTGGGGAAGGCTGGTTCAGAACTTGTGCTCCTCGGAGCTCCTCACTGGAGGATGGCCATGCCCAGCCTAGCTCGCAGCCATGCCCCTGCCCTTCCCAGACACACTGTGAGGGACCCGCACCCACATGTGGACTCCTGGCCCACACCCTGGCCCTAGAGAGGACAGGCCCAGGGAAGCGGCCCTTGCAGACGCTGGATGTGGGCTGGGGGACATCTGGGCAAGGGAATTCCACGGTGCAGCATACCTGGACTGTGGTCTAGAAGGGGAGCATGGGATCCAGGTGGACAGGTCCCCTGGGCCTCATGAACGTCTTCCCCAAGGACCAGAACAGAGTCTTATAAAGCAAGGTCTATGGCCTGAGTCTCAGAGTGGGGCTGGCTGCGGGGAAACAGAACTCTCACCTTTTGCTGGCAGAAGAACAAAAGGGTACAGATTCCGTGGAAGGTGTTTTGGCAATATCTATTAAAATAAACACGCACTTACCCTTTGACCCAGCAAACCCACTCATGAAAATGTATCCTATAGATATATCGGCACATGTACAAAATTATACACACATGGATTGTTCTTTGTAGCTCTGTTTACCAGAAGCAACACGTGTGTTGATTTGTGGAGAGCTGGTTAAATAAACTATGGTATACCCACATGATAGAGAAAGGATGAGAAAGTCCCTCTACATCCATATGAAAAGAGACATGTCTAAGCTATATTTCTTTTTTTTAAAATCCTCACCCGAGGGCATTCTTTGCATTTATCTTTAGATAGAGCTGGAGGAAGAAAGGGAGGAAGAGAGAGAGAGAGAAACATCGATGTGAGAGAGACACATCGAGTGGCTGCCACCCACACAACCCCAACCAGGGCCGGGGACAAACCGCAACAGAGGTACCTGCCCTTCGCGGGAACCAAACCCGGGTTCCTCTGGTCCGCGGGCCGGCGCTCTAACCGCTGAGCCAAACCAGCCAGGGCTAAGCTATATTTCTAAGAAAACGAAGTATATAACAACATATGTCAAAATCTATCTTTGTATAAAAATAGAGGAGAGGTAGATTCATTAAAAAACTAGTAAAAACAGCTATAGTCTGGGCATGGGCGCGCCTGGGGAAAGAGAGAAAAAGCTTCATGATAGGAGAGAAAATTCTGAATGTATGCCTTTTCTATCACTTCTAGTTTTGACCCCTGTGAATGCAGATTACCTAATAAAAATAAATGAAATGAAAATAAAATACACCGCCTGGAAGGGACAGAGATGATGGCCATGACTCTACCAGCCCGCACAGACTGGAGGACTGGCCCTAACCCGGAGGGAGGTGCTCCAACCACAGACATGAACTGTAGTGTAAACCACGTAACTGAGAAGTGGGGTTCTCTCTGTTTATGTCTCTCTTGTCATCCCCTCAGTTTTAGGAACGTCTCCTTTGATCATTCTGTGGCCCAACCAGGCTATAGTGAATCAGTTACGGTTTGGGCTATGACTGGAGGGAGCCCAGAGGCCAGAGGAGTGGGAAATCGTCCTAAAGCAACCCCAAAGGGAAGGTGAACTCCAGGGCAGAGTCAGAGTCACAAGGACCAGCACCCCTCCTCACCAAGAGATTCTTTCTTCTGTGCTAAAGGCGGCCTGAATTCATTGTTATTAAAGGACGTCACTCCCTTTCCCTCTGTGCAGGGACCAGGTGTCTGAGTGACGGTCAGCCATTTGCTGCTGGCAGCCCTGGGGACTGTGACAGGACAGGCACTCTGTCCCGCAGAACTTGACCAGTGGCTTTAATCAGGAAGCCTTAGGCAATGTATTTGCCAATAATCAGGTTCATGGCAAAATGAACATTTGTCAAAAGAAAGGTTACTCACCCCTTGCCCCAGACAGGCTAGTGCGGGAATCACTTTCTCCTGGGCAATGCACTGCAGGATCCGGGGGGCTCCGTAGAGGCCTCCCATACAGGAGGCCAGGGACGAGATGTATAAGCCCAAAAGGAACAGGAAGCCCACCAGGGACACCTATGTGAGGAAGCAGTTCCATTACCCAAGGCCAGACTCTGCTTCTGTCCCTTTCTGCTACCCCGGTACCCACCCACCTGCACCCCATCTCGTCACATCCTCTAGATTCAACCTCTCGGACGTGTTTCCAGTGCCGGCCCACCCCACTTCACTCACACCGCCAGCATTTCAGTTTGGGCCTCCATCACGTCTTGTCTCGACTACACAGAGGTTCTCAAACTGAGTGTGCACCAACTCCTCTGCAGGGCTTGTGCAAACAGATTTCTGGGTACCCCCTCAGAGTGTCTGACTCAGTAGGTCTGGGGTAGGGCCCAAGAACTTGGATTTCCAGCAAATCCCAGGTAATGCTGAAGCTGAGCATCTGGGGACTACACTTTGAGAACCACTGGCCAACGACAATGCTAACGGGCCTCCTGCTCTAAGCAGTGCCCGTACTGACTCACTCCCTAGCCTCTGCCAGAGCGACCTCTCTAAACTCAGATCTGACCATTAAGGACCCTACTGCAAAAACATCAGTGGCTCCCCACTGCCCTGACACAAGGCCCGTCCTGGTCTGTGACCTCCCTAGTCCTCTGTCCTGAACATTTAGTCCTTGGCAGCGTGATTTACCTGTCTGCTAGAACCCTCTGTCCACACCTTTTCTCATTGTCTGTTCAATTCCCAACTGTGCTTCAAGACTCAGCACAAAGCTCCCCTCCTCCATGCGGCCAGCCCCACCCCCCTCACACAGTGGTTGCTCCCCAGGCCCTGCAGCACCTGGACATGAGGTCGAGGCACCTAGGACACCGTCTCCTCTGCTGGCTTCATTTCCTCAGGGTTCCTGTCTCGTTTATCCTAGTATACTTGGTGCCAACACCGAACTATAAATATGAGTGAATGAATGAGATCATGACTCGTGTGGCCCACAAGGCACAACACATAGACTAAGAGAGAGCATAGTTGTTCTGCTTGGTGTCAACCTGTAAAGGACGAGTGCAGTGTCGCGGGCTGTCCACCCCGGGCCCACCTCACCTGAGCTGGCCCTGCAGGGAAGTCTGTCTTCCTGACTATAGGAGGCGCCCTCCTCCATTCTACTTGACTTAGGCATGGTCACCGGAACTGTGTGTTCCAGGCGCTCACCTGCCCAACGATTGAGATGGGTTAGATTTCATTTCCAGTTTTGTCCATTACCCCTTCTCCACGAAGACGCACCTGGCCCCATTTTTTTTTTTTTTTTTTTACTCTCTTGCTCACAATGCACCACATCGATGGCATCAAACTACACAGAACACCGGCCCCTGGTCAGACCTCTTTCCAGAAACCTGCATCAGCCATGATTTTTGATGGGAAATATTTTTTTTAAGAACACATTTGTGTCCCCTAAGGAGTGGGGAGGTGGGGGAGGGATGAACCACAGAACTTATACGCATGTATGCATGAACAGTGGACATGGACAACAATCTGGGGAAGGGGCAGGGAGGGAGGGGGAGGGGGGAATCAGTGGGGGAAAAAAGGAGAATCATCTGTAACAAAAATTAATCAATAATAAAAAATAAAAAAATAAAAAAAGAACACATTTGTAGGACGCTGGAGGTCCACAATCATCAGGAGGCTGAAGGATCAGGCTTAGAAAAGGGCAAGACCCAACCTGGAGGCACACCCAGGCTCCTGAGCAAGGACAGCTTGGCCAGGATGCAGCCAGCACCCAGCTGCCCTACGGATGAATTCTCACCATTCCTTTATATTTGCCACATTCGTTACATTTGAAGCAGCCGACAGGCCTAGACTAGGTTACATGACCTACCGGACCCATAAAGGGGCAGGCCAGAGAGGGTCTAGTCATTTGGGCTTCTGTAATATTAAATGGGGCTTGCTCCCTTTAAGACCACACGCAGGTGGAAGAACCCCCAAATGGTCAGGGAGGCCAGAGGTTTGATGGACATGACTAAGGCCTACTACACAGCCTACCTGTCCCTAATTCAGTGTGGATTCCTTTCCTTAAGTGCATTACCTCTTCTTATCCCCAATGAACCTTCCCCGTCTCTTCAATGTCACAGGTTCCGTGCGTCTGTCCCACCCCTCACCCTTCACTTACCATTCTATTACAAGAAGGAATTAACGTCGTCTCATGTTTCCCATCACGTTTTTTGTGTGTGCTGATGGCATTTTGATGTTTTCCGCCCTGATATGGTTCATCATAGCCCCGCGGTATAGTTCATGACGCTCACAGCCTCTCTTGCCAGGGCACCGTAGCTCCTTGGGGGCAGAGCTGTCTCAGGCATCTTGCCCCCTCCCTACCGCCTCCGACAGTCTGGCAAAAGGGCCCCACACGTGCCAGCTGACCTCACGAAGCTCCACAACTCCACGGCGGCCGTGCCCGGGATGTCTTACAAAATTGTTAGATCGATCCCCCATCCCTCTGAGATGCAATCATTCCTCTGTAACCTTGGTTTCTATCTCTGCTCCCAAATGCATCCTTATGCTGACTGATTTTACTAATACATAGACTATCTGATAAATTGTTATCAAAAGTGTTTTGAGAATCTAACTCAGTAGCTCTCTATTCTGGTTGTACATAAGAATCACCCCAGAGACTCTGCTTTCATCAGCATGGAACGGGGCACACATCACTGGCTTTTCAAAAGTAGCCCAGGTGATTCTGGGGTGCAGCCAGGGTGAGATCCACTGGGCGTGGGGCATTGTACCCTCTGCATTCTCCCCTCACAGAACTCTCTAGACCAGTCAGGTGTGTTATCTCCTTGAAAAATTCCACTGCTTCTTACCCAAAAGGTTCTATGTATTTGTGTTAAAAATATATTTTTCATATAAAGCCTGCCCACTTACTCAGAGTGGAAATGAGACTTGCCCTTCTGGTCCAGTGTTGGGACTGACCTCGGGAGCATGATGAGTGTCGCACCCAGAGGCCATGATACAGTGACCTCCAGCTGTGGCCAGCCTTCCCCAAACACCCCGTGGGACTCCTGCCAAGCCCTCGGGCTGTGGCCAGAGCGGGGATTGTCTGGGTATAGTGACTTATTTATGTCCAGTTTGTCAACTGTGTTTACAATGGTCGGTTCACTCGCCAATCTTTTGCATAAAACCATTATTCAGCCAGTCTTCTGAAAAATAAATGAACCGCTGGTCCTCATGTCTGAATAAATTATAAAAATTACATTTCACCTCTTTTCCACCTGAATCCTGTCTCTTCCTTTCTACCTGTCATCCATCTGTCCATGTAGGAAGCATTCGCTGAGGACAATGTATGTAGCTGGTACAGAGCGAGGCAGAGGGCGAGACTTTGTAGCTACAACAGTAGCCCACGCAGCTTTGCTTCCAGCCCTTGCAGACCGGAATCACTTTCTCTAGTCACACGGGACTGTAAACTTGCTAAGCACTCAGTGGAGGTGGGATGAGACCTTACCTGAGCAGGTGCTTTTCTCTCATACACCTGTTTGAGCCATCACAACAACCTCTCCCTCTTTCCAAAATATTACCTGGGGTGTGAACTACCCTAATTTCTTTTTCCAGTAACTATTGGAGAAAATAATTCATTCCATCTCTCTGCTCTTGGTATTTTGTCCCACCTCCCATCTGAATTGTAGCCACTAATCCATTGGTGACGCCCCCTTCTCTAGAAGGACTGAATCCGAAGTCATTCGCAAGGTGTTCATTCTGCCTCATCTCATTCCTGTGGCTCCTTGACATTATCGAGGGGACCATTCTGAAGCCCTTACAACACAAATCTATTAATACAGCAATGGCTCAACAGTCCCCTAATTCTCTCTCAATCCTATTTCCATAGACCCAAGTATTGTCCTCATTCAACAGATTGACCAACATCTCAACTTTTTCCTCTCATTTGGTAGTCATTTTCCCCCAGGAGACAAAGTCAGCGTCTTTGTCTTTCCTGAGAAGCAGCACCACGCCCACGACGGAGAGGAGAGGACAGCCAGATGGGCTGGGGGTGGGTGCTGGCGGCCAGCTGGGCTCCCTCCCCAGCCACGAGCCCTGCCCCAGCCTGTCTCCCCACGCACAACTTGTGAACCTGGAAAACCACTCCTGTCGTAGCCAAGAATGATTAGAGTTTACTCATTTTTATAAATATGCTTTTGGGGTACTTTTCTTACTTAGTCTGTTCTTACTTTGTTAGGAAGCCCTAGGGCCCTGAAGGTGTGTTAAAAACAGGTATTTTTCCCTAGACTATATACAAGTTTATTCTAAAACAATCATTTAATCTATTTAACTTTACCCCTACTAATACCTGCTCTTTATACAATTCCTTTTTTATAATTGAATACTACTGGGACTGACTTGTTAGCTTTTCTTATTCAGTTAAATAGGGTGGATTCATACCACCCTAGTGTGTCCTATCTGCAAGGATATCCCTGTAAGGGAGTCAACATTTAATAAGTATCTGCCCTGTACCAGGTATTTTGTTTTACATAGATTACCATAGAGCCACCACCAAAAAGTTTTATTCAAGATTGTTTTGCCCTGGCCGGTTTGGCTCAGCGGTTGGAGCGTCGGCCTGCGGTCCAGAGAGACCCGGGTTCAGTTCCCACTAGGGGCACGTACCTCAGTTGCAGTTTGTCCCCGACCCTGGTTGGGTCGTGCGGGTGGCAGCCATTCGATGTGTCCCTTTCACGTCGATGTTTCTCTCTCTCTCTCTCATCCTCTCTCTCCCTCCCATTCTGTCTGAACAAAAAATGGAAAAATGTCCTCGGGTGAGGATTAAAAAAAAAAAAAGATTTGTTTAGAAAGTATAACGTTACTGAGACTGACACCTGAGCTCAGGGGAAAGTTCCCGTAGGGCAGGGACACAGGCAAAAATGAAAATCCTTAGAGAAACTGTGCACCAGGATGCCAAATAATTAGAAATACATCAGGGAACCTGCAGGAAACCCAGAGAGACACAGATGAGCTGAGCAGCTGCAGGTCAGTGGAAAGGAGCCCAGCCCAGCAGCAGCCGCGGAAGAGAACTCCTGGCAGAACGTGCCCCAGAGCAAAGTACACGAAGGGCATACCTGCAGGCCGGCCCATCTGCACCCGGAGGTGAGACCCGCTGGCCACACAGACCAGACCGAAGAGGCCTTGCTCCCCCAGGACTCAGGAGAGCTCAGAGATGGGCGGGCTCACAACCAAGGCCACAGCTAAGACGTGAAGCTGAGATGAACAGGTCATTAACACCACATCGGGGTGGTAGGTTGCATCGAGTGACCACGCCAGACTGGGCATCTGTGCCTTCCAACCTCTACACGTTGCCCCTTCCCATTCTCTGGGGTCTGTTTGTAAAATTCGTGGCCCAACTTGCTGCCTGATTACAGCACCTGCTGTGTCAGCCGAGCCAGTCCCAAGGAGGGACACCAGAGAGTAGGAAAGGACAAGACCAAGGTTCGAGGCTTCCAGAGGAAGCTGCTGGGGTCCTCGGCACGGCGGGCACGCCAGGGTGCTGCTCTTCGGGAGTCGCCCTGGTTGGTTACTTGCTGCACCAGCCCATCTGCTACCGAGAACCAACAACAGTATTTTTCTTTCTTTCTAGGCTTTTACAGCTCCTATTCCAGGAAGCAGTCTCTTACCCTCTCCCAAAACTCTCTGACTCTCGTCCTGCTGTGTACACAACGACATTCCCACCGCTATCGCCAGGCATGGTGTAGCACATGCCTCCGACAGGTCAAGTACTTGCCTACCTGTTTCACTGTTGGGACAGGTGCATTCTCATCAACTAGCTTCCCCGTGACGTTTGTACTGTTAGAGGTGGAATTTCCACCCACAGAGGCTCTCCCTGCTGCTCAGAGATGTTTTCCCTCTCCTGCTCTGTGGCCTTCCTTGGATACAGGATGCCCCCCTTCCACACACCCACTCTTAGCTTCCCTGCAAAGCAGGGGAGGGAGGGGGGGGCGAGCCCCAGCCCAGGGGATAATTTGCTTCATTCCATCTAGATCAGACTCTGATGGTTGGAAGGACTTCTGGGAGGGAATGCACGAGAAAGGAGCCAGCCTTCGAAGCAGGCAGAGCTAGCTGGCAGCCGCGACACAGCAGGCAGCTCCGCCGGCCGAGGATCTGCTCCCCGAGGCCTTTCGTTCCTCTCCCGCAGCCAAGCTTTTCATTCCACAATTAGAGAAAAGGCCCCTGGGAGCTGAAACTCGAGATGAAAGCAGGCACGCAGGCATCCCTGAGGCCAGATTCCTTCCCTGAGAGCAAACCTCGCTGGCTGGGGCTCTAAGACCTGGAGGGTGGGTGTCGGAGCTCTCACTGCGCGAAACGGCTGCCCCTGCCTCCAAGGTAAGGTCGCGACCCCTGAAAACCAGTATCACCTTTACATCAGCACCTACAGGCCTTAAGAAGCCTGTGCTGGTGTGTCAACCGATCCTCAGTGTACCTCCAAAAGTTCGTTTCCAGCCCTGGGGTTGCCCCAAGCAAGGTCCCCCTGCCCCCATGAAGATGAGCAAGGCCTGGCCAAAGGGAAGGGTAATTTTGCCTCAAACAGGAGCAGTGACACTCAGTAGTTAATTGATAGGAAAAGCTCTCTAGTCTACTATAGTTCTCTGATAAATGACAGGAATCTCGGGTCCACACTTCCTCCAGGAACTTAAGGGAAGGCAGGAGTTTCGGGGGGTTTCCAGGAAAGTGTCCAGCTATCTTATTCTCCTGGGTTCTAGAGATGCCAAATGAGTGTCCTTGACCGTCACATGACCTCCAGCCTGCTAAGGGGTGGCTGTGGAATGTGAGGAATTCCATAATCTTCTCAGGGTAGGAAGTTCAGCTCTGGAAACAAAGTCCTGACAGCCAAATCTACCTGGCCCAGCCTGTGTGGAGAGCCCAGGGTCAGGGTTCTCAGAGGATAAGGGGGCCTCCTGCAAGGCCTCCCCCAGGCTCTAAGCCTGGCACTGCCCCCCCGCCCCCCATCAGCCTCCTCCTCACCTGCTTCCAGCCGGTGTGGCTCAGTGATTGAGCGTTGACCCAGGCACCAAGAGGTCACCAGTTTGATTCCCAATCAGGGCATGTGCCCAGGTGGTGGGCCTGATCCCCAGTGGGGGGCATGCAGGAGGCAGCCAATCGATGTTCTCTCTCATGGATGTTTCTCTCTCTCTCTCTCTCTCAAAATCAATAAAGAAAAAGTACTAAAAAAATAAACCCAAAAACGAAGGGCTGGTTGAGCTGGGGATTTCAGGCAAACAGATTCTGTTTCTGTCCTGATTTTTTCTCCACTATCAAATCACCTGGTGCACAGGCCTTCACAGGTTTCTAGGGATCCACAAGAAGAACCATTCCATGTTCTTGCCCCATCCTCTGTCCTGGCCCAAGACTGTACAGATTCCCAGCTAGGGCTGCGAGGGGCAGGCTGCCATTCGCCGGTGAGAACAAACAAACGGCCTGGCACGCGGGGCCCTGCGGTCAGCGCAGGGCTCACCCACCTTCTCCGCCATCAGGAAGTCATAGCGAAGAGCCTCTCGGGTGCAGACGGCGCCGAGCAGGAACACAAAGACGATGTACAGAAACCACCTGCAAAACACCGAGAGTGGAGCGGAGCTGCCAGCCCCCACCTGCCCCCCAGCCTTGGGCCAACCCCGTCCCAGCCCACCCTGGCCTTGGGTTCCTGCGGGAACCGGACTCCGAGGGGAGAGAAAGATGGTCATGAAGCTCCCTGGGTCACCTGGGGGGCGCCTTTGGTACTCCTCCTTAGCATATTTCTTAGCAAAAAGTATTGTTTTGTCTCTTTTTTTACAGTAAAAAAGAAAAACACACAAAGGGTGCTGGGGACGGCAGCTAGCCTCTGGGTTGCCAGGACTCGGCCGGAGTTGACGGGCAGCCCCCACCTTTTCATTCCTTCATTCCGCAAGAACAAGCTGATGATCGTTCAGGCCTCTAAGCCCTGCTGTTCCTTGGCTCCCAGATGACAGACAGCCACGCCAAGTGTAAAAAGGCCTGCAGTGACCTGGCTCCGCCCCCAAATGCCCTGTGACCTTGAACAAGTCCCGTGATCCCTGTGGCCTCATTCCCATCTGGGCAGTGAGAGGGGGGCCAAAGGCTCCTCCCGGGACCTCCCAGCTATGGCCACACAGGACAGGGTTCTTTCTTTTCTTTCCTCCCCAGCTCTCTCTGTTGGCCTCATTTTCTTCCCAATATGACTGATTGCCCTATTTAGCATAAAATAGACCGGTACTGTGTGCCTGGCTAGAAGCAACAGCATCAGGCCAGTAAGCAAAGAGCAAATGCAGCATTTATGAAACACGGGTGTTAATATTTATATATACCACAGTCAAAATCATGCAGGCACTTGAACTTTTCAAGTCACTGTGGTGTCTGCGACCTCTGCCTTTCAGACCCACCCAATGACCTAAAACCCAGGACAGCCTGGGGTGCTGCGGGGAGGCTGGCTGGGGGAGAAGGACAGTCTCTAAGTTCCTACTATGTGCCTTTATAGTCAGTGTCTCCTCCACCGTCTATGGGGCCCGTATACTTCCAGTGTCCCCATTTTACAGAAAAGAAAAAGGAGGCTCAGAGAACTAAATCAATGCCCCAAAGTCACGCTGCCGTCAGTGGCATGGCCGAAATGCAAATCCTAATCTGATTGCAAAACCCTTCATCTTTACGCTCCTTCCAATGATCCAGGAAACGCAACGGTTAAAAAAATCCCCAAGTTCAAAGTGGGGGAGGCGGGGAGAAGCCCAGAGGCTGAGGAGAAAGGAAAGAAAGGAATGGATCTGTGTTAGTGACACTTCTCCCTACGTTCCCAGGCAGGGGGTATGAAAGGGCAATCGTCTGAACCCACCAGACTTGAATTTTCCAGCCCACTGAGTGTTAAAAGGAGGACTGGAATATGAAATGGATTGGTCAGAGTCGGGCATCCTCAGAACAAGGGGGCAACCCCCTCTTTTGCCTGGAGTTCTCTTCCTCTCTCCAGCTGATTGCCACTGAGGGGAACTTACGAGATGCCAACAGCTGCTAGGGAGCCCAGGGGGATGCTGGCAGCAGGCTCCCTGAGGTCGCCCCCCATGTTGAATCCGGCCATGACTCCTGAAAGACATCCAGACGGGAAAGGGTGAGCACAGCACTCTGCCAATCATCTTCCCCGCCTCGGGTCCCCTCCTGGAAGCTGTCCCTTAGCAAGCCCTCCCATCTGCAGCTCTGCAAACCCTGCTTCTCAATCTCCCCTGGCAACTGGGGAGGCATCCATGGGCATGAAAGGGAGCTTTGTGGGTCGAGCAATGCGGAGGAAAGCCCTATCAGCTACAAAAGCATCTTATAGCCCAGTGCACAGTGATGAGGGCGAGGGAGGCATCTGGCAGGCTGCAAAAGGTCCCAAGGCCATATACTGAGTTGTGCCTTCCTTCCATGTCAACACCCCGGAGAGGCTCAACCTCAGCAAAGCACCCAGTGCAGACTGTTCAGCAGAATTCCTTGCCTCTGCTGCCCACCGTCAGCACTGAGGTTCGGGTGCGCTGGGGGCAAGTCCCACCCAGTAGTCAGAGCCAGAGACCACATCCGAACCGCCTGAGGGCTCCGAACAAACCCGGAAGAGAACAATCCCGATGCTCCCAACACTGAGTCACATCCCTGCGATTCCTGGGAACACTCCTGTCAAGGAATTAGTGGTGACTGATGCCGGGGAGACAGCACAGTGCGGGTCGGCGCGGGGGGGACGCCGCTGGCCTCTGCCCACACACAGAGGAAAGCGACGAGCAGTGTCCAAACAGCAAATGCTGGTCCAGCCCGCAAGAGCTCTACCAGCCTGTTCCTAGTCAGGGAAGCCTCGCCGAGGGTGGGTGCACCTCCAACGTGGCCTGGAAGGAGAGCCGCCCAGGCAGAGGGAGGGATGGACTACCCTTCGTTATGGATTTATGGACACTTTCAGCCTGACAGGGCCTGTGCTAAGCGCTTTACATGCATTTCAATCTTGTCTAACCCTCACCACAACCACATCAGAAGAGTAGAATTATTTCCCCCATTTTATAGAAGAGGACACTAGTGCTCAACTAGGTTGATTAAAATAGCCCAAGGTCCCACATTTACTAAGTGGCAAAAGCCATGATTCAACCCTGGTGTGTCTGACCCTAGACATCACGCGGGCCTGGTCTCCGCAGTGGTAGTCACGGGAGTCGGGTGGGGCGGGCGAGCGGAGGCCTGGGGCCCAGGGCGACGTGGGCTCCTTCAGAGGGCACCCTGATGCTGCACCAACACTGGGGCCCACGTGTACTCTGACCCAGCAATTCCACTGCTGGGATTTTATCCTAAGCAAATAGTCAAGGATAGGACTAAAAATTTAGCCAAAATGTCTATACATGCTTTTTTTACAATAGTGAAAATTAGAAACAATCTAATGTCTAAAAATAGCTGATTGGCTAAATTAAGTGATGGTGCATCTTCCAATAAATACCCGGTCTCCAACATTGTCAGGAATATATTGTGACATGGAAAGATATTTAAAAGCTATTGATTGGTTCGTTCTTAGAGGCATATTAGAAAACAGAATATATGGTATGAAAAACACATATGGTAAAAAAACAAACAAACACATAAATAGATACATAGAAAAAGGAACTGGAACATGTTTTAAAATGTTGACAATGTTATTTCTGGGTGTTGAAAAAACATCTCTTTTCATTTTATTACTTATCTATATTTTCTCAGTTTCCTATAGTAATCATTTTGAAATGAGGAAAAATAATTCTTAAAGGCTTTTTGTTTTAAATGGCATGTTAGGCACATTCTCTTTCCTCTGGCTCCCCTCCCTCCCCAGATCCTATGAAAGGGTAGTGACGGGGAAAAGGAAACAAGCCCATAAGCCGGAGGATTGGGAGGGGGCGTCTCAAGGAGATGAAAGGTTTCCGCAAATGTCTGGAACACAGAAAGTGCAGATAATGATGAAGAGTGAAAGGGAAGGAACAGAAAGCTTTGGAATGCTTCTCCAGAGGGTTTGAGTACACCGCCCGAGGCCAACCCCAAGTGAAGCCCCCTCAGAAGCAGCCGTTCTCACAAACGCCCCCAGTCAGCTTTCCCATGAAGAGGGAGCCCCATCGGGGAAACAGACCGACACACACTAGAGCGGGGATCCACGCCAGCAGCCAAAGATTACCAGCTGTGTGATGAAGACCAGGAACAAACACACAAATTCATGCATGATAAAAATAGAACAACCTGGGCTGGAAGAAACATAAAAATCAAGGCACAGAAGAGAATTCTGAAGGAAACACTAATTCGTAGCTCCAGACCCATCCAAGAAGAATATTCTATTTATAAAGAAAGTTGCCATGAAAAACAAAAAATAAGCCAAGAACAAGAAAGAAGTTTTGGAAATTAAAAACATGATCACTAAAATTAAAAATGCAATAAAGATCTAAAAGATACAGTTAAGTAAATATCCCAGACTTTGAACATAAAGATAAAGGGGTAGAAAATTTGAACAAAGAATATAATAGAGGACAAATCTTGGAGTTGCAACATCCAACTACTAGGAGATCCTGAAAGAGCAAACAGAGAAAACAAACAAAATAATCAGATTAATAATAGAAATAAATATCTTAAAGACACATCTTCAAGTCGATATATCTCATAAAGTAGGCAACACAAAGAACCAAACCAAACCTCCATACCTAAATGCATCAGGAGAAATCCTAAATATTTGCAAAGATAAAAACTGAACACTCACAAAGGAACAAAAATTAGACTGGGATCAGACTTCTCATCAGCAATGCTGAATGCTAAAAAACAATGGAGCAGTGATTTTTAAATTCTGAGGAAAAATTTGGAAACTAAGTGAAAGTGAAGTGAAGCAAACAAGGGTTCAGAAAAGTCATCTCCACATACCATTTCTGAGGAAGGTACTGACGCATGTACTCCAGCAAAATGAGGATATAAACCATAAAGGAGGAAAACGTGAGATTCAGAAAACAGTGGCGGTCACTCAGGAATGGAGTCAAGCCCCAGAATAACAGTTGTACAACAGAGAAGCCGGCAGGATTGAAGCCGAAGGAGGGGGACCCCAAGAGGGATGCCTCTGGATTAAATTAAAGTCAACACGATGGACAGTACGGTGAACAAACTGAATGATTTCAAGGATATGTTTTCTACATATTTTGGCAGTAAGGGAAAAAAAAGGTTATTGAAACTCCAGGGAAACTAAACAAGAAAATCAAGGTCTGAATACGAAGGAAACAAAAATGTGATATTTTAAACAACGAATGAAATTTAAGAAAAATCAACCCATTTGGCCATGATATGAGGAACGTTTTCTCCTACGTGGCACAAGGACCACATCGTATCATAGAAAGGAGTAGAGTTCTAGCCCACTGCTTTGCCCTTCGATGAACAATAGCTGCCTAGTCACTATAGTGTACGTGTATATTGTTTTTAACTTCTAAAATCTGACCTACAGACAAAGCACAGAGGACATAACTACAGCTACAAGACGGGATACAAATATTATCTAGCTTGGTGAAGTAAAAGCAACGCTATAGCTAACCAACATCAGGGAGTAAAAAGGGGGAAAGTAGAGGGAAGAGAAAGAGCTAATATTTTGGTTGGAGTGGTGTGGAAAACAAAATGTAAGTGCCATGATTTTTACTCAGGACTGGCTTGAACATTACAAGCTTCAGTTAGTTTAATAAGAAAACCTGAAAGAAGAGTTAACCATTAAAATTTTTAGGTAGATAAGATAAAGTCTAGAAAATATTTATATACCAGTTGATCCAAACATGTTCTGCACATGATAAAAAAAAAAATAATGTAGAGGTGCTTATGATATATAGTATAAGTTAACTCGATATATATTCTATATCTTGTCATCATAAAAGGGAGTTGCTAAGTGTTTGCTAAGAAGAGCAATGAAATTTCCAAAAAGATGAAGCAGTTTGTCCTTGTAGTTATGAAGGCTGTTGACTTGTAAGCTGAAGACAAAAAATATTTTTAATAGGGGTGTGTGTGTGTGTGTGTGTGTGTGTATGTGTGTGTGTAAAACTGTGTTCACTTTAAGTTGTAAACTACAGTTTTCATGGGATTTTGTTCACTCACCTGCTAATCACCAACTTGTTATAGCTTCCCTGATAGTGGACTAAAATGCAAATATAAAAAGATTATGCAGATTCCTTTAAAATTGGGTATTTCCTTGAGATAACAAAAGCATTCCTTGTAAAAATATCTTATACAGAAAATAAATATGACTCTAATACATTAATCTTAAAACACAGCACAGAAAGTTAATTTCCCACACCAACAATGAGTGAAGGGATATAGTCCACGACTGATCAAATAACAGAAATTTAAGCATATTATTTAAAGTGATAAAGGTAACTAAAAAGAACTAAAAATTAAAATATAACTCTCAAAAATTGGGAAGTAAATGAAGGAACGTATAAGTAAGTTAAACTCTCTTATTTTTCAGCATGGAGTTAACAGATTATATCTGCCTTTGATTAATGAAGGTATAGGTATAGGCATATAGCTTGGTGATATACAGTAAACTCTCAAAGTACGAAAAACGATGAAAAGTGGTTTCCCCTACAGAGGGGAACTTGGAGTGATGAGGGGTGGGTAGAAGACTGGCTACATACCATAAGCACCTCTGCACTATTTTTTTTTTTATCATGAGCAGAACATGTTTGGATCAAAAGAGACATGCCCAGGACCTGCCTTACTCTGACCAGTACTCCTGGGACCAGGTCCCGTCACTGAGGCTCTGCTCAAGGGCTAGAACAATCTGATGCCAAGGGCATCCCTGGCCAAATCTCCATGTTTACCTGACCCCTGGACCCCACGAACTTTATCACTACCCCTTCCCGGTCCTCCCCGTCTGACTCTCTACCAAGGTTCCCGCCCATCACCAGGCTGAAAAGAACCGATTAATCCTCATTGCCTCCTGCTCCCAGACGGGCTCTGGATCCCTCACAAACGCCCTTGTCCTCTCTGCCACAATGCCTCACACAGCCAGCGACCCAACCTTTGTTTGTAGGTCCTACTCACGGGCCTGGTGTGGAGATGCTGGGACCCTGGTCAGTGGGAGGAGAGGGGCCTGGCGCTGA